ACATGCTGGCGCTTTTATGAAAATATCAAATACCTAATTTGATTAGAAGGCTTAAAAACAGTGTATCACTCTATATAAGACAATAGCACTATAAGAACACTGCATTTAAACCATATATTTATCTTCTGATATTATTAAATGCGCTTTCCTTTCAAGTGAAGCAAATCCTCTTCGAGCCTGCTTCACAATAGCGTTCTCCCACATTCAGCCGTTTCCCAGTTCAAATGTCGATATTGTAGTCGGAACCAATTTCCTCACAGGAGCTTTCGTAAATTAATACCGTGCTTCATGATCAACTATTTGGACGGTCAGACGAATTCATGTATTTCAATGAAACTCTATCAATGCGCAAACGACAATTTCGTGCTGAGATATAAGCGGTGCTTGAAGGGTAATTGTGGAGGAGGAGCTTGTTACGCCAGCTCAGCAGAGCATCTTATAGTTTATGATGTGGTGTTATAATTACCTCTCTTAAGCAAGTACGAACGCTGAACGTATGTATGTTATGCATTCAGAATAACCTGAGAAAACTCTATGGTCCGATTTTCCAGTCGATTTCTTGTAAAACCTCTCTCAAACTAGAGAAAAACATATGATTTGTGTAAGATGAGCCACTAGTTCTGATATTAAATCAAGAAATGCTTCATATATCACCTGGTTCAGCAACAAAAACCAATTCTTTCGTTTGACCCCGAACCCAATATTTGCGCCGTAGTCGCAAATTCGACCAATGAAAAAGAAGAATTTGCGGCCTGCTCGTACCATGGATCAAACTTAATATACATATGGTGACATAGCAGCAATTACAGTGCTTTTTTATTGAAAATAAGAGTGCCTGTACTTACCTGAGAGATAATTTAGAAAAATATTATCTATATGTCTAACAATTCACCAATATGTTAATCGAACCTATTTGTTATGTTCATAGGTTTGCTCATGTCAGTCAAGCTGTCATTGATTTTTGTCCTTGATGTACAAGATTTTCTGTTTGTCTACTTTTATGGTCAACACGTGTTTGGAGGTAATTTTCCATCCAATGATACTGTTCTCCAGCCATCCACCGTCACCGTGGTTAAAAAGGAACAGAGTTTTACTCACGGTAGTTAAGTAAATTGAATATTCACTCGAGGCTTGCTAGGAGAACATTCGGCAGTTCTATTCAGGTCTTCAAAGAATTTATTAAAAATAAGTGTCTGCGATCCCGTAGAAAGCTCAGTAATTGTTGTGATATCAATCTATTGTATCAAGTTTGATCCATGTTTCGAGCAGATCGCAAATCCTTCTTCTCGAATCGTCGAGTTTGGGACTACATCGCAAATTGTTCTTTTAGATTGATATAATTTGCATCTATATCAATCGACCATATTCATTAAATCCATTTTTCAAAAATACCTTCTGGTAAGATCGGGCATAAGTGCCCGGTTGCACCGCCAAACTAAGGTTATCCTTAAGCTAGCTCATCCTCAATTTATACTCTTAAAACTTGAATGGAACTTAAATAGAACATTGCTACTAGAAGAATTATTATGCTTAAAGTGGAGTTTCTAACGCAAAGCGTACATTGGTTTTTACAACCTGATAGTATTATTATTATTGTTTGAAAAATTTGAATACGTGGAATATAGATACTAGTATCGGAGATGGATGTAATAATTATGGTTGGGATCCAAAAAAGTCTGTGTTCATATCGAGGCTAATTGTCTGGAATTCCCTGACAAGTAATACGGATATGATATGCACCTGTGCCCTCAAGTACATCAACTAAAAGGATTGCTGTTCTAAGTGCAATACAAGAACTGTGATAAAATGTGACTCCATACAGTTACAACCAAGTCATTCAACTTTGTGTAGTAGTTGCAGACCTAATTCTCCCAAGCAGTTACTATAAATAAGTGGTGTTTTATCTTAGCTACGTTTTTACAAACTCAGATTGGTGCAGAGGAAACCTAATTCAAGGTCGACCTTAAAATACGGATCACCTTTGCTAACATAAAATACTTAAAGAAGCATTTTTTTACAGCAATATTGATATATCACGGATCCATTTAACTACATCGTTCAGATGTATCCTTGGTATGTATATACAGGGTGACTTCGAAGTTGAGTCATTTATTTTATCAGTGAGTAGATCTGATCAAAAGAAATGTTTTTTTCCTATAACATTTTTCTGGTAAAATTAAAGTAACAAAGTTATAGCCCTTTAGAGGTTTGAGTACCGCCCTGTCTCAATAATAATATTATGTGCTCGTGTTTGGCAACAACGGATATAATCCGCCTTATCGGTTCATCGCATCGGAAACAAAAAAGCGAAAGAATTTGAAACGCTTATCACGATGTTTTTACCACAATTTTATTCAGTTGTATTCAGTCAATGTGTCAGTCGGTAACGCGTGAGTGAATAGTGGTGTTTGTTGCGTGGCTCAAAAAATGGCACATGTTTACGAAAATGCTGAACTTGTGGACATGATTCTTATTTACAAAATTCTGCCGCAGCATCACGGATTTATGCGGATCGGTTCCCAATCGAGTGCAACCAACCCCTCGTGCTTTTGTTAATGTAGTTCAAAGGGCTCGTAAATCAGGTGACTTAAGACCTCACAGGGGAGAGCATGCCGGTGCTCCAAGATCGCAAGATCAAATAGAACTAGAGGAACAGATTTTAGAATTAGTAAATGATTTATTATTATTCACGTAATTCTCACGTTTGGGGTATTGAAAATCCCCATGAAATAAGGGAAACTAATTTTCAACAGCGATTTGGACCAATCAACCTGTGGGCTGGAATTGTTAATAAAATTTTAGTGGGGCCTTTTGAATTACCAAATCACTTAACTGGAGAAAATTATCTTGATTTCTTGCAACACAATTTGCCTGGTTTACTGGAAGATGTGCCTTTAAATATTAGACAAAACATGTGGTTTTTACAAGATGGGGCACCCCTCCATTATGCAAGAAATGTGCGTGAATTTTTAAATAGACAATTTAGTAATCGTTGGATCAGCCGTGGCGGTTTTGTACCTTGGCCGCCAAGGTCTCCGGACTTAAATCTTGTAGACTTTGTTTGCGGGGTTGGCTAAAATCTCTAGCGTATAAAACACCGGTTAATACCCGAGAAGAATTACGTGCTCGAATTGAGGAAATGAGTACAGAGATCAGAAATCAACCAGTGATTTTATTGCGTGCTTGTAAAGAGATATGGCTAAGACGCTTCCAGCTCTGCGTCGAGCAAAACGGAAATCATTTCGAACAGTTTTTGTGACATGCTTTTGGGCGCACAGGTCCGCACTGAAATACTTGTCGGGAGGATACTTTATACAACAAGGTAACATTTTTTTTATATTTTTTTTTCTTGACACACATATTTTGGTTTATCTTCCTTGTACAATTATACTAAGTGACATATAAATCCGAACACCCAGTTTAAATGGTTTTATTTTAATAAAATTCTGTATAAGTACTTAATGAAGCATAATAGGTAAATGATAAAAATTTCAAAATGATTGCACTGCTTTAAAGCCCTTTGACCTTTAATAATGTGTGGATGCACCCTGATGTGCTACGCATTCTCCAACGCGCCTAGGCATGCTTCTGATCAGGTGGTCAATGTCGTCCTGTGGTATCTCATTCCAGGCAACCACCAACTCCTCTCAAAGTGCTTCTAGAGTCTGAGGACGTTGCAAATTGAGCAATCTCCTACCCATCATATCCCACACGTGCTCAATTGGGGATAAGTCGGGAGATCTTGGTGGCCATGGTAACAATGTGACATCATTATGTTGAAAGAAGTCTATTGTGACTCTTGCAACGTGTGGTCGGGCATTCTCTTGTTGGAAAGTTGGATCTGCCAGGGTGTCAAGATAGGGTAAAAGATGGGGTTCTAGAACTTCGTGGATATAACGCTGCGCGTTCATGTTACCTCTGATGAATATTAAAGGTGACCTGGAACCATAAGCTATAGCACACCAAACCATAACTCCAACAGTGTGATGAACATGTCTTTCAACAAAAAACTGTGGATTCCTCCTTTCACCACGTCGCCTTCTAACCCTGGCACGACCATCGTGCATGCCTAAACAAAATCGAGACTCGTCACTAAAGACAATACTGTTCCATTCCTGATCCCAGAGTGACCGTTGTCTGCACCACTCAAGGCGATTACGTCGGTGTTCTCGAGTTAAAGGGAGGACCCAGTGTGGCCGGTATGAAAACAAGCCAACACTTCTCATTCGTCGGTAAACGCTTCGCATGCCAATAGGTCTTCCGTGTTCTGCAAACCATTCATTTGCAATGGACCTGGTAGTGGAGAAACGGTCCCTTAAGGCCAATAATCTTAGGCGGCGATCTTCACGGTCAGTTGTTCTACGGCGGCATCCAGTGCCCCTTGCTCTTTGCGTACGGCCTTCTCGAAGTTGCCTGACAACAACTTACCACAGTGTCTACACTTCTTTGCACTCTAACTGCAATTGCCCGAAAAGAAAGTCCAGGTTCCCGAAGTCCCACTATACGGCCCCTATCAAACTCACTAAGTTGACGGAATCGTACAGGTCTCCGTACTCTAGGCATCGTAACCGATCGTAAAGGATGTCAAGAACCAAAATCCACCAACGTTGATTCTTTACTGCGGCTGAAATATTCATTTTTAGAGCGTTAGTGAATTAAAAAAAAAGCAGTATAAAAAGCGGAATGTCCAACTGGTAAGGCTGAAAATTTCTTCGCTTGTTATTTACAGTAAGATAAATACATTCACCAACTTTTATTAAAATAAAACCATTTAAACTGGGTGTTCGGATTTATATGTCGCTTAGTATATTATCTGAAAATTAATGACTCAACTTCAAAGTCGCCCTGTATATTATGACACTGCGAGCTGACCGTCCATGGACGACCATTTGTGTTACAACTGATTGACGAGTTGTTCATGATTTTTGATACTTGACGACACCATTATGTCCATCGGGCGGGCTGGATTATCGATGTAAGGCGCAGTGAGTGGCAGTAGTCGCAAACTTGCGACAATCCTGGGCCATCGTTAATTTTACCATTACTCGTAAGAAAAGATGTCAATTGAAAATCAGCTGTTTACTTGCAATGAACCTAACACTACATTTCGAGAGTCCAATGTACAAGATTTCACAAACTAGAAAGGTATGATCTATCTTATTATATATGCTTTTTTAACCCATTACATTATGTATCCCATCATGTTAGGAAATGTGTCATCAGTGAGGTAGTAGTCTAGAGCCTCCGGTAGTCAACGATAATTATTGCTAATTGCTATGGGAATACACCAGTAGTTGCATTCTTAATGATGATATTGATTTTGTATCGGTTCCCCAGATCGTCCTACATTTAACCACCGATGACGTGATCTATTAACTATTAAAATTTATAGGGACTCTATTTCTAGCTGCAATTGAGCGCTTTGCGTCAGACGATATGCATGAATAGGATATGTATTAAATATGTATCCTAATATTCTATTTCCATTCCAATATGAGGTCAGATAAGAATACACTGTTTGGTGCTATAATAAGCGATCCTGTTGCAATTTGCATTTGAATAGAAGTCTAATAATTCTATTTGAACGTATATATTTGATATTTTGATTTTGCTTACTTGTGGGCTAAATCCTACGCAAACTATTTGTGTCTTCAGCCTGCCACGGTCTTTGAAGGGCAATTTCGGACAAGATTAAAGTAACCACAATTTTGTTCAGAATATTTCACCACGACTGACTTGGAAGGAATCTGAGTAACTTATGCCTTTTCATGACGGTATACCTAAGACTTAGGATTGTTAACAATTGTACGGAGTCTAATTGTAACTATAGTACAATGACATATTTCACCTTGCTACTTGCTATTAGGGCGGTTGCTTTATGCATGGCGTGTAGATAACGCATATGACGCTATAGCTAGTCACTACTAAAGATTTGTGACCATATTTCCTGTCAGGCCAACCGCAGACAGCGCTGTTTTGTGCTCATTAGCAACTTATCAGTCTGGTATGAGTCTAGTCTTGAAGACAGGCAAACGGGTAGCAACATGCGGGTATGTTTTTTTTAAAAACATAAAATCTTTTGTGGAAGTAGGTAACGAGCGCCACCTACCAATGGTTTGCCAAACTGGTGTTTTCCCTTATACCATACAATGAAGATGACAGAGGACTCTTATATTTTCTGGCTCACAACTGCTCGATGCTGCTATGCACAGAAGATGTCGCACAACCAATTCATGGTCGATTCTCCAAGAAGTCGAAATACTAAGTATTTGCAGAGAAAACCAGTAATGGTTTTCTATCCGTATAGAAAAACAGACCCATAAATCTTGGCAGTTCATTTTACAATAAGCTTCTTCCATTCATCACACGACTTAACGACGTGGAGCCAAAATCGTTTCTCATTGAGCACTGCTTTTATAGTATGAAGGAAAATATTTGCAGTTAAACATGTAATCATATATACTGAGAACACCTACATTTTTCCTCAATAACCTAAAAATCATGTTGTGTCAAAATTGTGTTGTTTCTGTATTTCTTATGCCGTTCCATATGATTGTATTAATTTATTGTATTGTGTAAAAATAGTATATATTTTCGTTTATATAATCATATTTCATATCCTTGAAAAAGTTTAGCCAAGGAAATAAAGATAAAGACAAACAAGTAGGTACAGTTTTTTCAACAAGATCAAAGTCTTGTGCGCAATTGTCAGGGGGTGATCAAAATTGATAGCACTGACCCGTTACTGATACTTAGGGTCTCCGCAGGTAGCGGAAGAGTCTTGAGGGTTGCGATCTAGCGTGCGATCTAGCCTTTATCAACATATAATAGTTAATCATTTTATTTATATTTATTTAACCAGATATTTGACAATGTCAGATGGAAGGGATAAAAACAATGTAACATCGAAGAAAATAGGTTAACAAAATAAAAGTTATTCAAGTTCTGATGTTTAAAACAAGTTGCAAATGGTACAGTTTATCAAACGAGTTTTTTCAAGTTGCACTACACTATGTGCAAATTGTACCTTACCAAGAAACACTCGCTTTTCTCTGTTACTTAAACAGAAATCATAAATTAAGGAACTTAGGTGAGACAAATTAACTTGAGACGTCCGTGTAAATCGAAAATTTTCATTTATAGAACTTGAACTTTAGAATCACCGATTTAGATTACGTTGGAACAGTAATCACAATTACTGCATACACAAACGTTAAAATAACGTCATTCGACATTGAAGTCTTGTGATAAAATGTCAATTGACATTATTGTAACGTGTACGTATGCAGTACCTGTGATTTTAAAAAATTTCTGTAAAGTACAATATTTGTTTTATCTAAGCATAGAAATCACAACCATCACACATTGCTTGCGCCTGACCATATCCCCTACAAGATATAGCTGACGAACGCCACCTACCAATAGTTACCATGATTTGGTAGGTGTAGGCTCCGGAAAAACGTTCTGAAATTAGTGGACATCAGAAAGCCCTCAAGCACGCGCAGTGGCGTAGTGGTGAATGCTGTGCGTGTACTAACATAGTCGCCGTGAGCTGTATGGGTACGAACCCCACTTCAGGATTGTCCGTAGGTGCTGGCTTTCACAGATCATGGAGCGTGAAGGTGCCACCCGGCGGAACTCTAAGATGAAACCAGAATGTGTAGATGTTAGAGCTAGAGTTCGTGTGGCGTCCCATCCTTCCCACTGTAGCTTCTCGCTACCCACAGCTGGTTTAGCGTGATGGCAGAAGTATAAGAAAATATACAAAGCTTGCAACATTTCAAAAACTTGGGCAAAATGTTTTTGTTATACATAAAATTTTTGGTTGATACATATTGAATAATACAAAAGAAGCTTTTCTTTTGAAGAGTAAGGGAATGCAAAATATGGCTAGCAAGTTTAAAAGTCTCCTCAACCATAGTTAATATCCGTTCTGTATTAGTATTGCGAGAAAAATGCCCAGTTTCAAAATATCCCACCCCTACAGAACTGTTGTTTGTGATAAGAAGATAAATTTTTCCATGGAAATGATCCCCATCATGCCTATAAATACCACTTCAATGTGTGTCATGAATAGTGGTGATAAGAGTTATGAAAGGCCTTTGAGAATAACAAAGTGTCTGAGGCCTTCGAATAAAAATGAGGTATTGTTGTTTATATCTGCATTGTTACATTTCAATGATTTTTGTTTGTTTACAGATCCCTCTCGATACAAATCTAGTTCATCCTTGGGGCATAATTCACTTGATGAGTCAAACGTCTGTAGACCAGATGCATTAACAAATATTGAGCTTTGAACCTAAGGTCACACCATACGAGGAATGATAATTAATCAAAAGGGATTGTACCGTGATATTTATTCTGTTGATATTTGGTATAGAACTTGACTTGCGGGAGAGCCGTATCTTTAGAAATCACATCAGGCTCAGCTAACTCACAAGTGGGCCTTCAGGCAGGGTGCTATCTACATCTACTTTGAAATATAGAGTGAACTCGGAAAATCGATATAATATACAGGGTGACCCAACGAAAAGGTAGCACCCCTATTTGTGATTCTCCTAGTATATTTCTGAAAAAAAGACGCGCAGACACGTGAACTAGGATTTATCAGGGGACGTCTTTTCATCTATAGCAGTACAATGCAAGGTGATCCAAAAATAAGATATTGCGTTACACTTTGGATTTTTAAATGGAAATCCCCATTTTTTTGAATTTTTAGATTTCCCCCTAGAAATAAAAATTGACGTATCCGAGCGTTTTTTTCCAAAGTGTACCAGTATAGTCACAAATGGGGCTGCGACCTTTTCGTTGTGTGACCCTGTAGAAACCTAAGCAGCAGACGTTCTAGATGCCATTGGTGCTGTGTCGTCGGTTCAAGAGTGGCGTTTTGGCATAAGTAAAATTTAGATACAGATTAAAGCATGCATCTCAGGGGCAATCTACATAGTTTGGGACACTGTATATATTACAGCTCTCCAGAAGAAATAGTCGCTTATCTCCACAAACAGAAATCTGCACCACCAATCCTCCTACGCCTCTTCTCCATTCACTCTATCGCGTATCTAAACTGTCAATTTGCTTAATAAATATCCCGGAGATAATTGTCCGGGCCTTTTTTATTTGAGTAATACCTGTTTATAGCAAATAAAGAAAATGTAAACGGAAAAGTAGAAAAGAGGGAAGAGAAGCTGCTGCGAGTTCTGCGATATCTCGATGGCGGATTCCGAGTGCGTAGGCCACATAAAATCCGAGCAGGTAGAGAGACAGAAGCCATTATCAGGGGAGCCATATCTGGCTGCTGAATTTATGTCCACGTTGTATCTAATCAAAACGATGTGGGTGTCATTCTGCTAATAACAGGAACACAGGGGCGTCCTCTCGTACACCTATTGTGTATACTACGTATTGAAAACTTTATACATTGTAGTACAAAAAACGGAGTAGGTGCCTAGTGTTTCCTGTTTTGTGCCCCCAGTAAGCTCTCTGTCATGCTCCTGTCGTATTTTGCACATTTTTTGCCCGTGAACATGTATGTATATGCATTTTCATTAGGAAAATGTACATTAATAATTCTACTAGTCATTCGATTTTTTTTAATAATAATAATATTTATTCACTCAATGTACAAAGAGAACAAACAACATGAGTAAATAAATATAAAGTCAAAACAGGCCCAGTCGAAGGCATTGAACGTACATGGACCAATAATGCTTACACGAATGGCTAACAGATGTCACTTTCTGAAAATAAGTCTCGTTGAACACAGGTAGGGAAATATGAATAGCTCGATAGTTAGTTCTTCCTAGCTGAAGAAACCATAATATGAAGATTTCTGAGTTCTTCCTTCAAAATAGATTCACATCAGCAACAAACTACTTTGAAAAAGTGTTTTGAAACAGCTTGAATTTATTAGCCAAAGTAATCTCATCCATGTTATTCTAAAATTATGATAATTTATAGCAAGTCTTATCATGATTCGACCACAAATTGAGTCTTAGCGTCAAACATGATACAAATCTTGAATTCCATTTGGAAAAAATCATTTCTGAAGGATGTCCAAATAAGCTGTGTATCAGCAAAGCTAAAATCTATAGATTCTGTTCTGATGAAACACGCAAAGCCACGGCAAAAAAGGCTTTGGATCGTACCAAGTTTTTCAAAAGTCTATATATGCATTTCATCTTCCTGAATCGAAGTTCACATCAACAAGGCCTTAATGGTCATTACATACTAATTATTATACGTAGTTGTTGAACTGAAAATGCTGGATCACAAAGCAATGGCAACATTCCTTCTATATTTTCGAGATAGAACAGAATTATACAGGGTGTTCCTTAATGATATGCGAATATTTAAGTGGGCGAATCTACATGAGAAATTGATGTTAGTTTACTTTATAAACTATGGTCCAAGAATGTTTTCTTACAAAAACTCGGGGTGTTGCAGTTTTAGGAAAAAAATGGAAATTAATTAATATTTTCAGAACCGTTCCAGATATTTCACTGATATTTAGTACGTGGTGAAAGTTAAAAAAGTTGCATATTTATCAATGCAAAATAATTTTTAGCTTTAACAGTGGCGTGCGTACGGATATTGACTTCGACAATTTTTAGGAAAAAATGGTACAATGGCCAAATGAAAATCATTTTTGAATTTCCTGCTCAATTTAAAAGAAATTGAATTATTTTCCTTCGATGCGCCATTTTTGAGTAAAAAAATAAATACCGTTCTATTGTCTAACTTGCAAAATAATTATTAATTTCATTGTAAAAATTAAACACATTTGGGGTAATGAACAACAACAACTGACAACATAAATATAACATTAAAACCACCGAAATGATTAAAAAAATTGAATCCACTAAAGTTCTCCAAACAATTTGATGGCAAATATTTAAGTATCTAGCGATCTTCCTGGTATTCGTTTCAGGATGTCCTTCGACTTCGTGCAGCACTGCGTCCTCAATTTCAGGTGTTCTCACACTTAGAGGTCCACCTTCAGATGTTCCTTTTCAGACAGAATCAGTTCCAACAAGACTACGATGAATATGATCTGGATATCTCTGGTGATAAATGCGTCTGGCTTGCTCACCATTACCGTCGGCAAGGCCATATACGTAGTGTATTCCCGCCATTTCTGCATTTGAATAATTCACCATTATTAACAAGATTGTAGAAACTAAATAATTAGAAAGCGAACAGATTTGAATAACAGAGACTTGACAGATGTCTAAAGCCAGTGACATATTCCAGAGCAACTAGATATTTATTGCTTAATTGCAATCTTCAATTATTACATAAATTTTCTCGGATAATACCCATACGCCCGCCACTGTTAAAGCTAAAAATTATTTTTGCATTGAAAAATATGCAACTTTATTAACTTTCACTACGTACTGAACATCAGTGAAATATCTGAAGCGGTTCTGAAAATATTATTTAATTTCCATTTTTTCCTAAAACTTCAACACAGAGAGTTTTTGCAAGGAAACATCTTTGGATCATAGTTTATAAGGCAAACTAACATTAATTTTTCATGTAGATTCACACCCTTAAATATTCGCATATCATTAAGGAACACCCTGTAGTGATAAATTATATGGATTTTATTTGTAATATTCAACTCAATCTTGCTCCAGAAAGGAGTGGTCTGTTACTTATTTATGAAAGTCTGAATAACCTATTTGAAGGTTTAACAGATATGACAGAATAGTCACTGACGCAAAAAGAATTTTTTCTTTTGAAGGAGATCCCAGCATCCGACACTACTAATGTAGTTGAAGCCGCAAACTTTTTTCTATATATCGCTTATTCTGTACAATGGTCCCGGCCAATGCCGTTATCCATTCTGGGGGTACAATGTTTCTCGGTTTTAAAATTACAACCTTAAAATTCAGTATCGTAAGAGGACATACTTGAAACACATGCTTATATAAAACTTTTGCATTACTTTTGGACCTACTTCTTGCCATAGAAATATTACAATTTTGAATCAGGACGTAACAGCCGTGTTGTGACTATGCCCCGGATTTGGTCAGAAGCAATTCTAATTTCCTGTTTGGATGCAGTAGAGACTTATACAGGCTGTGCCACGGAAGATTACGCATTAGGCTGAAGAACAACAATGCTGTCTCCTCATATGAAGCGCGCACACTCGACCGCCGGTGGCAACCGTGCTGCAGCAGCTTGCTCGATATCGCGCGTTGCCGCTTTTATCGCTTTTCAGACTTCGCACTAAGTAATCATTGAATACACAACCTGTATATTATAATCGGATATCTAACCCTATTGAGTATAGCTTCTTGACAACAGTCTGTACAAAAGGTATGGCTACATAATTAACAGTTCAAAAGTATATGGAATATCTTAGAAATTACTGGCTCAATATTTACTGAATCTTGAACAGAGGGTCAGCCAGTCGTTCTTGATCGGACAATTAGAATTGCATTGTTGTTGAATTTATCATTAATTCAGAAACAATACTATCTTCAAAAGCATATTGGATAGCCTTGCCCTTCCATAAAAAACAGAGTTGGTTTCAAAAAGACTATAAATCTCGCAACAGTGTAGTTACGACAGTCTAATCCGGAATGATCGGTTATACCCCTGGTTGAAATTTGATTGATATAGATTCAGTACTTCCCAAGATATTCCACGACTTCTAGACTCTCTACTACGTTATTATATTATAACTACATACATAGACCAGATAAAGTCCTGGTATTTGGTAGGTTATACTGTGGGGTGCTAAAGGGGTTGACATAATACAAAATGTACTTCTTTACATCGGTCGCCTACTTTCCAAGATATTTAACAGTTCCCTTACTTTAGTAATGACAAATAATAATTAATAACTCTATATAAAAAACCTATCACTTGAAGAGTAAATTATACAGGGTGTTTGCAGCGTATCTACAATTAATTTACATTTTGCCTCAGTTTTAAGGAGAAATGATTATTTTTTCTTTTTTTGAGAAAATTTTCAGTTTTTAAATTTAAGTACAATTAACAGAAAAAAATAATAATGCATTTGTGAAACGAGAAATAACACTACAGTACCAGTACCACAAGAGAAATAAGAAAGAGATGTTATGGTATTAGAAATAATGGAACTCAATTTGAACAAGACTTACAATAAACCGAGTAAGAAGAGAACAATAGGTTTAGCTGTGTTAGAATGAGACAGAAGTTTGTACCTGCTGAATTAGGTAATTTGAATGATTTGGCTGCATTCACTCTCATGATTCGCTGAAGATAAATATTTTTTTTTCAGTAAACTAATTATTTATGTTACATGTGGCATACCGTTAGGAAGATTGTTAACTCGAGAAGTTTTTAATTACTTTTGAATACCCCATACTCTTTTGTGTTATTTTTTTGCTTATTGTAAATTTGACGTAAGATTTTTTTCAATTGACTTAGGAATTTTGTTGCTCCACTGTTACTTGTTCTTCAACTGTTTGTATCAAATGTTGGTTGAATCTCAATGAAGTAACAGTAGACTTAAGAATAAAATCAATTTTACGCCGTTGCGAACGTAAATAGAAAAAATATTGAAACCTAAATTTGAAAACTGGGGATTTTCTCGAAAAAAGAAAAAATCATTATTTTTCCTTAAAACTGAGGCAAAATGTAAATTAATCAGGCATTGTGAATAGCCAATAGCCCCAGCCATCCGTCATTTCCGTTTCGCTACTCATCCTCCAAACACCCTGTATATAGTTTGTCTTACTCCAATATTAAGTGCAGTCATTTTCGTCTTACTGTGAATAGAAAATAGGGTACTGTCAGACCCATCATCGCGAGCCTCTTTTCGAATATCGCTGTGTGATTGGCTCAGGCTCAAGATATCAAGGTACTAGTTTGAAAAGTACAAAACGAGAATATAACGCAACACTCCATTATTCAATATACCTCGGAAACATTCCGCGTAGAACTTCTTAATTATCTGAATACAATCAATATGAAATGACAACGTCTTTCAAAAATTGTAATTATACATAATCTGCATTTTAATGTATCTTCATGAACAAATTAACTACATAGTGGTTAATATCAGTGATAATCATTACAGAGGCTCTCAAAGCACCTCGCAAGCATTCATGGTTAACATTTTAAATTCAACACTGGCCATTGACGTGTAACGTGTGGTAGTTATGCTGATTGGTATTGTGCCCATAAAATCCGACAATTTATATGCATTTCAACAGCAGTATACACAATACACACTCTGCATCGTTTGCTCCTTTATTGATGTTCACGTCGAAATGTACGCCTCTGTGGAATAGAGATCGCTTAATTGAAAACTACTTCATTTTATACGCTTGGAATTAACGTTTTATAGTCTAAGAGATGGGTTGTTTTTACTTCCGAAGGAATGCAAACATTTCCCGCTGATATTTTGTTATCATTGCCACAAAGTATTCAATATTTTATTTTGTGGGAAATGCATCTTGCGGCCCGGCACAATTATGAGAACTTACTGCATGTTTTGGTAATTTGCAGTGATACAAAAAGTTGCTTTTACCGTCTAAAAGTGGGATAAGCTTCTCGGAGAAGCTGAACTTATATATTCCTTGGAAAATAATTCTGGAAAGTCAAATGAATTTTCTGAAGAAATGAATATTTCTAGCGAAATTATTCCAAGATATCGTTTGTCATAAGTGATCGCGCTTTCTTATACATACACATGCACAAATATCCGTCTACCTAGGGATTTCAGGTATCGTTATTATTAACGGCTCTCGGATCCATTATAAATTTGTGCAGCTTCAGAGATACTTCAAACGTTTAGAAAACAGATTCATACTTGGGTACCGCTGTATCAGAAATTTTTTTCTGTGGATCGATCATCAAGGATATACAGTTTTTTTTGTGAAGCGTAAATCTAAAGAAAAATGTGGAGTATGCTTGATCAGGAAATATCCAAAGAGCTGCTACATACAAGATTGGAGCACTTCCATTTGAAGCTATCGAAAAAATAAAGCTTAGATGTATTATTCCAGACCGTCAGCAAGTTCTTTTACAAGGTTTCAATGTTCATAAAATGTTCAATTTCGATGAGACTAGTGGATTATATATTTTTCATACATTGCTGTTATGTTGCGTTAATGGTAAAAACCGTTTGGAGATTTAGCAACTAGCTAATCGTGACTGCGTAAGATATGTGCGAAACAATTTCAGTAGAGTTACCCAAAATACAGATGCACATTTTGTAAAGAATAGTTTCAATACGTTGATGATGATAGTGGAGATACATGTTCTAGACTACCTAGGCTGGCGTCTTCAATTAAGAGGTTGGAACTACTAATCATAAAAGACAAACTAACGATGTAGCAAATATACAGTGGTTTTCAGAATTGTGTTTTAAAGACTTTTTCTCTAGATTAGTGCTTGCGCAGAAGCGCCTTATATTTAAAGAGTGAGTTAACCCAAATACGAGAGGACATTATACACTAGTGTGTGGAACAAGATAAAGCTTTTGCAAAATGAAACCACCAAACAGCTTGCTGTTTGGATGAAACTTAGATAGAGATATGTGCTTTGATTCACTTAGGGTGATATACGAAATACCAAGTGAAGATGTGCGGTAGATATTCATCATAATTGGCCTTGGTTTGTTTCTTGGTTTTGCACGTATTAAAGAGTTTTTGATATATTATACGTATTATTTGAGGTATGTATACTAATCACCCATCTTAATGGAACAAAAACAGTCTGATCGAATACCCTATAGGTATGATCAATTTTGTCGAATTCTGTAGTATTTCCCAAGCAGCCACTAGGACTACCACATTCCGACACAGTCGATAGCTTTGGCCGTACACAATATCAGACGACTTTTCCAATTAAATCTGTATTTGTCTTCCTACCATGTCCATATAAGAATCTAATAGACTTTCCGTTCTCGCTATATCAGTTCTGTACTGACCGTGTACTCTGTGGCTATGCCTATCTAGAGAAACTATACCTACAGAAAATCTGCTTTCAGGTTGTACTGAAAAAGTGAAAATCCATATAAGCAGCCGCGAAGCCAAGTTCTTCCTATTGTTGTATATAACAAAGATAAACATATTGATATGCAACAACAGCCACTAAACGTTGCTCTATTTATTTTATAGCTCAGTTGCTAATATGTATTGCCATACAGAAATGTGCTTATGGTGGTTAAGTAAAATTGCGTAGGTACACATCGTAGATATGCCATATCTATTCAAAGTGAGTATTTTTCATTTTGATGACGGGCTATTCCATATCGAGCTGTGCGATTTTACTAGTCAGGTTTTAACGGCAGGGTTATTACTTAAAAAACGTACTTGATCACAAATAAATCGGTAAAGTGTCAACTTGAGTACTAGGTAGCAGCTAATGTGCCGCTAGTTCTTTCCGCGCCTACTACAAATAAGCATGAAGTGAGCGTCAGCTAGTTCAAAAGTGACGTTTTCTCGGAAAACCTACAAAATATCAAAAAAACCTAAGTAATGTCAAAGAAAAATAGGTGTAATGTCACTTTTTAAGTAACTTAATACGGGTGCTGGAAGTTTTCGCAAGGTCTCAACGTGTTACTAGAATTAACTCTAGTGGAGATTAATAGTAAACAAATGGCTCATAAGCTTCTTTTGAGCCTCTAATTCCCGATGTTAGTAAGATGGCACCCGTATTTCGAAATTATTTTTAGAGTTACAAATTTCTTCTAGTAGTCAAACCAATAAATGCTTAAGCGTTTTCTACATTATATGATTTACTTCTTTTCGTTGCTCTATTTCTTCCTTCCTTTCATTCATTTTTTTCCCTTTTCACATTGAACCTGCTTGGTATGTCGATAGCCAGACCTGACAGACTAACTGGCCGACGGATGGTATAAGAACCCATATTAACTAACCTAAAAAGTGATATTGTATCTGCCTGCAGACATTCGTCAGAAAATTTCTGACAAAAGAGCTGCAATTAAACAAGCGAAGAGGACACCCAGATGATATTCACAGAGCAACGAATCTTAGTCATGAAGTGAGAAATGTTCTTCATGAATTCTGTAATGAGCAATGGAGCGACTTTCTGTCGGGGATGCTTGACTCAAGTATTCCTCTCTGGAAAGTTGCAAAGTCGCTCAGAAACGGAAAGCAAGAACAACTCCCGCACATCCACGGTCCTAGGGCATAGTCTGTAGGACAGAGGAAAAGGTCGAGGTTTTCGCTGATGCAATGGAAAGTCCGTTCTCTCCCAACTATGGCCTTGATAATGACATCGACGAGGAGCAACATATTGTAAGATCCGACAGAAGATATTTTAGGGCCAACGGCGTCAGTGGCAGTAGTGCCTCCCTTAGTGATTTTTCCTCAGAGGAATCTTCAGAAGATTCCTCAATTGAAGAGCTGCACGGCACATCAGCGGAATCTCGTGAGACTTCGCATTGCACACCAGCAGAGCTCCAAGGTCATAATAAAGGCCTCAAGGTGCGTAAAGCACCTGGAGACGATCGAATCACCAATAAGGCACTGAAGCTACTTTCGCGGAAGTCCTTAACTTATCTCGTGGCAATAATCAATGCCATGCTAAGGACCCAGCACTTCCCAACCGCTGATGTCATAATGATTCCAAAGAAGGTGGGTTCGATATTCCCCCAGGATTACCGCCCCATTAGTCTACTGTCAGCTCCTTCTAAGCTCGCTGAGAAGGTGATTCTACCAGACCACAATGTGATTCCTGACGTGCAATTTGGCTTTCGGTCTGAGCATAGTACGGAGCTACAGGCCATAAGGCTTGTTGAACGAGTAACCAGGGGGTTCACCCATAACGAAAGTACTGGCATGTAGCTACTGGATGTCTCAAAGGCATTTGACAAGGTGTGGCACAAGGGCCTTCTCAACAAATTGATCCATAAGGGATTCCCGTTCTGGCTCCTAAAACTTTTGAAATCCTTTCTCGAGGGTAGGAAATGTCAGATCTAAATTAATAACGTTCTGTCGACAACACAGCCCATCAAAGCCGGTGCCCCCAGGGTTCGGTTCTTGGACCACTTTTTATTCATGACATCCCTTGCCCCAGCAGCTGTGAAACCTATCTCTAACGTGATGACACTGCCCTGGTGGCCCAGTCGTGCTCTGGGGATCTAGTTCACGACAAGCTGCAAAGTGCAGTGGACGAGGTATTGGAATGGGCGAATCGGTGGCTGATCAAAATTAATCATTCGAAAACGCAGGCAACCTATTGTACTAAAAAACGTAGCGGCGCCCCATCTGAGGTTTCAGTGAATGGAGCTCGGGTACCATGGGAAAGCTCTGCTAAGTATCTCAGTGTCACTCTTGACAAGGGGATAACCTGGCAGAAGCACACTGAAGCGTTAAAAACTAAATTCCAAATCTCGTTTCGACAACTCTACCCTATGCTATGTCGAACATAAAAATTAAGTTTGATCAACAAAGTTCTGCTATACAAGATGGTTATTAGACCAGCGATCACTTACGTAAGTGCGGCTTGGTGTTTTCTCGCCAAAACGCATTTGCGTAGCCTTCAGGTTTTGCAGAACAGAACCTTGCGTACAATCACTAACGCCCCATGGTATGTTTCCAACGAGACCCTTCACAGAGACCTTGACTTACCTAAGGGACTACATCAAAAAACAAGCGCGTTACAGTCAGGCAGAATCGCGTAAAACCCTTTGTTGCGCGAGTCAGTAGACTACACAGTCGAGCAAGTTCGCAAGCACACAAGGCCGCGACTTGCACTGTGAACAAAATTAAATCCTGCGACTTTAGGTCCAACCAAAATTATAATTTTTCCTCAAAAACCAATCCCAAAATTAATTTTAGGATCAATTTAAAATTGCCGAATACTAACTAGCAATGCCAAGGCACCCCTCAAATTGATGCACTTCTTATTTTCTTTGCTCTCCCTCCTTCCTTCCTTCCTTTCTTCTTCCCTTCTTTCTCCCTGACTTTGTTTGGTATCTGGGCAACCAGACCTGACAGACCTACTGACTTACAAGACTTCAATCAAGAGCAAAGGTCCTACGGACCGCTCTGACAGACAATGACGAATAATCGTGATATTGTACTGATTTTTTATGACATTATGTAGGATTTTTTATTATATTTAGGTTTTTCTCACCTTTGAAGCAGCTGACATTCACTTTATGCTCATCTGTAGTAGCGCAAAATTGCATATATGGCACAAGCTCCACTAACCAGAAGTCATTTTTCTGCTAATGGATTTAATGGATAATGTCGATTTCTTGCAAAATATCACTCAAACTCGAGTAAAATTGTGCGTTTTGTGTTAGATGGACCCCTAAAATTGAATTACCAACGGCTCTAAAAACATATCCTTTTATTTGGGCATCGACACAAACTTTGCAACTATGACACTACCTCCACCAATCAAAAAAAATAATTTGAGACGTGAGAGTCGAAGAATGGACCAAATCTGAAACAATATCTACATTGATATGACAGCCATTACTGTGCATTTTATTGGAAATAACAGTCCCACTACTTACTTATGATAGATAATTTTAAAAAAGGATACATTTTTAACAATCCATTAACACGTCCACTGAGGTAATCTACAAAAACCTATATTTTCTCTTTATATCATGTCAGTCAAACTAGGGCATTGTTTTTTGTACTTGCTGTCAAAATTCTGCTTAATACATTCTTTGAAGATATAAATAAAATTACAGAATGCTTATTCTGTAACAAATATCGAGTAAATATTTAATTTGCAAGGTACCGTGGCAACGCGTGGTTAAACGTTGCATAGTTTTTCCCCCGTCGAGTAGAAAATGCAAGAGCTCATTGCTGTTAAGCCAGAAAGCATACTGCTAAAACACCTGTTGACCATAAGAGTATTTAGTAAGAAACAGGGGTTTCGCATGGCAGTCAAGGACATTGAATATTTAGTCGGTGTTTGTTAAAGGAAAAGCATTATATGATTTTATGTATGTCTTCAAAGAATGTACTAAGCAGTATTTTGTACAGCAATGACAAAAATCAAAAGTCAAGTTTGACTGACCTGATACAAACCTATAAGGAGCAAAGGCTTTTTTATCTACTCGTAATCTTAAAGGGCATGTTGATGGATTATATACAGGGTGGCACATCGAAAACGAAACAGACCCATTTACTGGCAGCTCAGTTTTTTTTTTGAAAAACGTCGATTTTGTTTTCGAGGGGGACACAACTTTGGTAACAAATCACGTTAGCACGTGCAGCCCCCTAAGCGGGGGTGGCGCCATCCTGAAAATCTTAAATGGAAAGAATGATATAAAACTAATGTACTTCAGTTCAGTAGTTTTGAAGATTTATTGATTTAAAGCTTAAAGAAAACTAATACATCATCGTTAGTGGAGATCAATACATTTGGCAGCAAAGTAATTTAAAAATGAAGAATCAACTGACCCGTTAGGCAAGTAAATGTTGAAAATGGCCAGGCAATAATAAAGATTTTGGTCAAAACATTGCTGCACATTTTGCAATATTTGAGGAGTAATTTGAAGGCACTCATTCACAATTCTTCGTCGCAGGTCTTCTAATGATGTTGGCTGAGTAGCATAGATTTTGCTTTTAAAATGACCCCACATAAAGAAATCTAAAGGTGATAAATCTGGCGATCTTGGTGGTCATTCAATGGCACCTCTTCTACCAATCCATCGATCTGGAAACGTCTGATCTAAATATTGTCGAACACGTAATGCGTAATGTGGTGGGGCACCATCCTGTTGGAACATCAACCTATTCGCAATGTACCGCCGATCATTCTGATTTTCAATTATGGCTGTTAATGCAGGATCTATGGCGTCTTCCAGTAATTCCAAATACATTTCACCCGGTTAATTTGCAGGTAAGAAAAAAGGACCAACTAAATGATCGCCAAAAATACCAGCCCAAACATTTAATTTTTGTGGCTGCTGTGTATGAACCTCATGATAAATTCTGGGATTAGAATCGGACCAATATCGGCAGTTATGACGATTTACTACGCCATTTAAGAAAAAGGAAC